CGCCTGGGGTCGCGGCTGTTTCCCGGCTGGCAGAATTGTTCGAAACGGTCGAAAATGCCTTTGAAAACCCGTGTTTTAGGCCGACTTTAAGCAGCAACTGCGTCTGATCCGAGGCGGTATTTCGTCCTCCCTCGGCGGGCATTTGGTCTTTGGACCTTCCTTTAGCATGCCTTTGTTACGGAGTGCGATTATCGGCCTTAGTTTGAGAGCAGTATTCTCTCAAAGTGGATAAAAATGGCATTCAAAGGCATTTTTTACTGTTTTCATCAACTTTGAGACAATATTGCTCCCAAACTAAGGGAGATAATCACACTCCGTAACAAAGGCACGCTAAAGAAAGGTCCAAAGACCAAATGCCCGTTGAGGGAGGACGAAATACCGCCTCGGATCAGACGCAGTGGCTGCTTAAAGTCGGCCCAAAACACGATTTTTAAAAGACATTTGTGGCCGTTTAGATCAACTTTGCGGCAATACTACTCACAAACTAAAGTGGATTATCGCACTTTGTATCAAAGGCATGCTAAAGGAGGGGTCGCGTAGGGTCGCGTGGGGTCGCGAAATTTTTCCTGGGGGTCGCGGAAATTTTTTGTTACAAATTTGGGGTCGCGAACCGAAAAAGGTTGGGAACCGCTACCCTAGCCGGGCTGCGAGTTGCATCAATGCGTCTGTCTGTCTGTCTGTCTGTCTGTCTGTCTGTCTGTCTGTCGTCCGCCCTTCCCGCTCCAGCAGCCCTCCATCCCTGCCGTGTTCCTGTTGGGCAACGGCGGGCCGCCCCTCGGGCCGTGCAGCCCTGCCTGCAGCGGACCGACACTCCGAAGAATCTCTCCGTCGCTCCGTCTCTGTCGCACTCATGGCGCGGCCCGTATAGGTGTGAGAGAGACGGAGCGACGAAACGCGTTGCTGGCGGCGGCAGCCCTTGCACAATGCCCCGCCACCCCACGCACGGGTCGGGGCAGCACCGGCAGCACCGCGGCGACGTCCCTCTTCAAAGACGGCCTCGCCGGCCTCGCAGCCTCGCGGCCCCCGATAACGAGAAATCATAGAGCCCGGCCCCGCGGCCCACGGCCTGCGGGTCCAAGCCAAGGGTCTGCGGGCGTGCGGGGGTGGCTTTGTTCGGAGGGGTGGCCGAGCGCTGTGTGTTGCAACACGGCCGTTGCAGTGCACCAGCGCAGCCTTGCAGGTGGAGGTCCATCCGCCACGCTTTCCGGCAGTGTGGGGACGACGGCGCCGCAACCGTCGCACCTGCCCGCCAGCTGCACCGCGGCACCTGCGCGAGAGACTCCTGGAGACTCCTGGAGACTCCAGGCACGAGCTGCAAGTTCCAGCCGAGCTGCTCTGGAGAAATGAAATGTAACCTGGACTGCAGTGGTGGCCTGGCTTCCTGGGGTGGTTACAACCCCGTTTGCTTCCTCCCCAGAGCCTCCAGGCCACGGCGCCCTCTCTGCCTGACGGCCGCTTCGTGACGCTCTGTCTCTCTCGCACCCCAACGGGACGCCCCATGAGCGCGACAGAGACAGGGCGACTCTTTGGAAGCAGTGTGCTGGCTCGGTTACGAAGGGCACTTCACCACGGGGATACCGCCCTCCATCAAGTCAGCCACCGCGCGGTGATGTAAGGGAACGAACCGATACCCCGACAAGGCACCGGGCAGGGGGCACCGGCCACGTGATGTAACCAAGTCCATTCTACATTCCTAATCCGGATAGACCTGCTTTTCTCAATAAATCTTTGTCAGTACTTTGTCACCCGCTGCCTAGGAACTTTATGAGAATTTTGCGCACCGCTGCAAACCTTCACCTCCACCGCGTCCAATAGGCTGGGAGTGTAGGACTTCCTCTACGAGCCCGTGTGATGCTTCCTTTCGCGTGCAGTTTTGAATGCCTGTCGAGTTTCAAGCAGTGTGTCTCCCTGTCCGGCGACTTTGTCTCTTTTTTCTTGTATTTCTCCCTGGTTCTGGCCGTTCGGGTCACAAAGTGCGGCTCGTCGGTCCAGGGGGCCGTGACCGCCGTGGCCGGTGTGTGACGCAACGTGTGGATGCACCGCTTGCATCACAGTGGCCGTGAACAGGAACTACTACTTTCACTCCGAGACCGGCTTGCTCGGCGTCGTGTGCTCCGGGCCACTCCGTCCGAGCACCGCCTCGGCTGTCGCCGTGCGCCGCCCGAACGCGCTCCGAAGACCGAAGGAGCAGGCGGAGCAGGTCTCACGGCCACTGCCATGGGTCGGTCGGTTACTGCACCGGACGGGCCGGGGGCCCGGCCCGGTGGCCCCATGCCCCCATGGCCCCTCGGCACCGCCGGGGCGGGGCGGGGCGGGGCATTGGCGTGCCAAGATCAGGGTCCCGCCGTGGGGTCACTCAACCTGCACGGCGATTCTGCTCTGTCGCCGCTACGTCTGCTCTCTCGTACTATGCCTCGCCCCGTAGGGGTGCGAGAGAGACACAGTGGCGAAACGTTGAAATGGGAATGGTTGGCGAATTCGGCAGCGGGGTGACTAGTTCCTGTCTCAGACTAGTTCGTGTAACTGCCGCGCTGGACGGGCTGGACTTCCTCCAACCCGCCCGCCCACGACAAAGCGACAATTCCGAACAAAAAACGAGCCCTCCCCATCCGTCAGGCCCGTCAGGCCCGGTGCATGTACGACACTTCCTGACGTTTGTCCGCGGGAAGGAGAGGGCATGCCCAGGGCAGCCCAGGGCACGCCGGAGGGTGGCCGGCCCGCCCGCCGCTTGCGCAATGGCCGGCATGGCCAGGTGGGAAGAGAGCGGGCGCGTCGAAATTAAAGGGCCGCGGCCGGTTTAAAACCCCCAACACTGTAAAGTGAGGAGAAACGACTAAAATAGTAGTTTCAGTGAGGATAGTTGCTTTAGTCGAGTAAATTGAGTGGCTAAATGTCTGTCGATTCGGTGAGGCGAGTCTGACTGTGGAGGATGCCGAAAGCATACCGGCGCGAGTACCGCACCGCGGCGGCCGCGGTGCTGAACGCTGAACCTGTTGACGGCGGCAAGGCGGCGCGGCGCCATGGCGGCGAGGTCGCTAGGGAGCAACCCGGCCGGGATGCGGCGCCAGCAGCACCAGCGTGCGCCACGAGGGGAGCCTCGCCTCGCCTCCCTCGCGCCGCTTGCGCTGCTTGCGCCCTCCGCGGGGTGGCGGCGCGGTGGAGGGGCGCGCCGCGCGCCCGGCCGAGGGGTTGCAGTCCCTGCCAGTCCCCGCGCCTCGCCCCACGCCTCGCCCCACGCCCACGCAGCCCCAACGAGCCGAAGGGGCGCGCAGCCCCGCGCGGCCCCGCGCAGCCCGCCCTCCGGGTCGTTCACCCCGTCGCCCCGACACGTGCCGCTCCGGCCGGGCCCCGCACAGTGGGCCAGAGGACCGGCGGAGGCGGCCAAAGTCCCGGACGCGTTTTGAGCTCCAGAGTCGCCAAATGGAACTCGAACCAAACGTGTGACCCCACCGATGGATTGCTCTCCGAACGAGGAATCCATTGGTGGGGTCACACGTTCGGGTCGAGTCCCAATTAGCGACTCTGGAGATCAAAACGCGTGTGGAGTTTGGCCGCCTCCACTAGTCTTCTCGCCCACTGTGCCCCGAGCCCCAACGCGGCGGCGTCAACATCGGGGCTGCCGTCAAGACATTGGACAATTTGATTCACGTGTGGCGCCTACGCGATCCACCATCCGCCATCCACGCCGTCATGCCCGCGGTGTCGAAGGGGAGCACACACACACACACATACGGCGGAAGCAAGATAGCTACAGAGCGTTCGCCTAATAGCATCAACATGAAATGCGATTTTTATTCGAGGAGAGAGCCTCCGCCAGCACGGCGAGCAGCTTCCACTGCTGAACATTTCAAAAGTTTAGGTTGCTACGTACACACGCGCGATGCATGTGTGTGCGTGTTTTCCTCCCGCGAGAACGCGTCGTCTTTCTCAAGACCACATGTGCGGATCGCATAGCGCCGCGTTCAGTTCCGTGTCCGTCGCGATGTCGCGTCGGATTGGCTGGCCGCGTCGTCTGTCGCGTCGTCTGCTCGCCGCTCCCAGCGCGCTATTTCGGTATTTCGGTGTCGGCACTGTAGGGGCGCCGGTTTTACTCGCGCCCGCTTTACACGGCGCCTCTAAGAGTGTCATCCCGGTTATGGCCGGGTCGCCCCCTGGGGAGTCGGTCGGCCTTTAAGTGACGAGTGTACAGTCGCGCAAAACACTATTTCTCAGCACTGAGCGCACGTGTCCGACTCACAGTGGGCCAGAAGACCGGTGGAGGTGGCCGAAATTCTGGACGCATTTTGATCTCCAGAGTCGCTAAATGGGACTCGAACCGAGCGTGTTACCCCATCAATGGATTCCTCGTTCGGAGAGCAATCATTGGTGGGGTCACACGTTCGGTTCGAGTCCCATTTAGCGACTCTGGACCTCAAAACGCCTCTAGAGTTTTGGCCACCTCCACCGGTCTTCTGGCCCACTGTGCGACTGTCCGCGCCAAAAGCCAAGCGAGAGCCACGACACTTGGCAAACAAGACCACGACGCCGCCGACGCCTGAATGGCGTGGCGGCGGCAGCCAAAGCCATTGTGGTCTGCCGGGCCGGGCGCCGGGCGGAGTAGTGCAGAGAGGTTAGGTTGACGTACCTCCACTGCCGAAGTGGCGGAACTCCCACACTGTCCCATTCGAGGTCCCATTAGCACGGCCCGGAGAGGTCTGCAGGCTCATTCCGCATCGGCGCTTCCGTCTCTCTCGCACTCACGGGGCGTCCCGCAAGGGTGCGAGAGAGACAGAGCATTGGAATCGGCCTATGTGCCAGCGTGACGCACCGCCGGAGCCTTGGCTTTTGTTAGTCCAGACCGTCAAAACATTCGGCGACTTTGGCGTTTCGAAGAGGCGCGATGCTTGGACACGTCCTTCCGCTGCGATCGCCTCAAAGAGCCAGCCGTGAGAGGCCGCCGTCGTGACTTGGTAACGAGCATACGCGCCAAACGACAGCTTTTTCCGCGAATTCGGTGAAAAATAATGTAGGGGAACATGGGTAATCAATGTCATCCCATCTCAGAATGACGCCAAATGTTTAACTTTGTCATCAAACCACGCAAAATTTTTTTGTTTTTACTTTTAGCTCTTGTTGACATACCTAGGCACTTCCAGGCGGCGTGTCACACAACGGCGCTCTATCGACGTGACTTTGCCGCGTCCGCTCCAAGCAAGACCGCCTCGGCCTCGCGTCCTCGCCCCCCACTGCCACACTGCCCGCCTCTCTATTTAGCGAGTATAAAGCTCTGCGTCGGCCGCCGGCCGGCCAGTCGCCATTTACTAGCAACTTTGCTCAACCGCACGAGTCGACTGCCAACAGGTGAGCCGAACGCCTCCCGTTCCTAAAGCCTGGAAATCCTGCAGGAAAAAGAGGTGTTTTCCGCGTGTTTCCGCGCCAAACTGGCGAGCACTGGAAGACCGGGGCTGTCTGTACCCCACGCTGCCCGTCAGGCCCAAAGCACACCACGGGCGGGGTAGCGACGCGGCCGGGTCAGTTCGTTCGACGGCGTGCTTCAGGTGACTCTGTTTCCGCAGCCATGCTCCGCCTGTCCGTCGTCGTCCTGGTGTGCCTGGCCGCGCTGCTGGCGGTGTTCGTCGCCGTGGAGGCCATGCCGCAGGGCCAGGCCAGCCCCCCGTCCGTCGGCGCCGACCCTTGCACCTGGGGGCCGTCCTACTGGTGCGCCAACCACCAGAACGCCCAGAAGTGCCAGACCACGTCCTGGTGCCTGGAGAAGAAGATGCTGCAGTGAGCACCACGCCGACGCCGTCAAGGACCTGCCCGTCAACGAACCAAAAACCACTCTCTGTGTCTTTGTAATAAAGGCCGCTTTTCTTAAGCCTTGTTTACGTGCCTTCGCTCTGTTCCCTTCAAAGCCGGTTACGGAAGTCCTAGGATTATGTAGACGCAAGGTCAGAGCGACGGGTGTCTCGAGGGCGATGCCCAGCCGCTTCGCTTGCGCAACGCCCTGCAGAGGGCCGCCCGGTCGCTCTGTCTCCCTCGCACTCATGGGGCGTCCCGTTGGGGTGCGAGAGAGACAGAGGCGGCGGGCAGGGAAGTGCCGCGCAGGGCGCTACGGCGGCGTGAGCGGCGCTACAGTGGCGTGCCGGGGCGTGGCGCCGGGACGGTGGCGCGCTCTGCGGGGGATCTGCGCAACCTCGAGGCCGCAGCCGCAGCAGCCCCCGCCACGGTCCGACCATGGTCCCGGCAGGGAAGTTCCAGAAGGAAGGGGCGTTACAGGCTCGGCCAAGGGCCAGGCCGCCCAGGCCCAGGGCCGATATCGCCCTGCCGCCTGTGGCTTGCTTTGGCTGGCTTGCTTTGGCTTGCTTCGGCTGTTATCGGCAGCCACTAGAACAGCCTGGAGCAGCCCTGAGGATGAGGAGGAGGGGACGAGGAAGAAAAGAAAGAAAGTGAAGGAAAATTGCTTGCGGTATTGTAATGAGCGCGTGGTTTGCTGCCACGTGTAGCCTCATTCAAAACACGCACACACACAGGCATACACGCATACTCCTCTCTCTCTCTCTCTCTCTCTCTCTCTCTCTCTCTCTCTCTCTCTCTCTCTCTCTCTCTCTCTCTCTCACACACACACACACGCCGACATAAAGCCTGCGGCATGTCGCCTTGTAATGCAAAATGGGGGAAGGGCCGGGCAGGCCGTCATCCAGTGAGAGGGGCGAAGGGAGGTGCCCAGTCGGCAGCACGATGGCGAAAGGCATGGCGTGGCGCGGCGCGGCGCGGTGTGGTTCGCTACCCTGTCTCAATTTCGCGTTTTTATTTTTTTCGCCGATCGGTGCCGCGAGTGCGGCAATCACTGCTTTCAATTCGGCGTCCATAGCGCGTCTGCAAATTGAATGCTCTGCGCGGCTGGTGCGGCGCGCCGGGCGGGTGAGGCGGGGTGAGGCGGGGTGAGGCGGGGTGAGGCGGGGCGGGCGGGGAGCGAGGCGGGGTGAGGCGGGCGGGCGGGGTGAGGCGGGGCGAGGGGAGCGAACCTTGCGGAGGTTTGTGTTAGGGGTGTCTTCCCCCGAGTCCCCGCGGCCTACGCGAGGCCTGCGCGAGGCTTGCGAGGCCTGGTCCTACGGGGTGGGGTCGCGTCGGCGCGTGTTGGAGGGGACGGGTTCGTTGAACTCGCCGGGAAAATCGATGTCAGCCACGAGCCGAGGGATGATTTTCCGAGGGGGTGGCGGGGCGTGGCGGCTAGGCCGGCTAGGCGCGGACGCTCATATCAGGTTTCGGCGGCCGCGTCTGTGGGCTTCCGGGCGGCCCGTGGAGCCGGGCCGGAGGCAGGGCTGGAGGACAAGGGGAAGGACCCGACCAAGGAGAACAGCGTGATGAGGCCCGATCCCTGGTCCCTGATGTGCGCGGACGGAATGCTAATTTTTGGCCGTCGGTTCAGCCACGCCACCGTCGTCGTCGTCAAAGACTCTGCGCCATAGACATAGCGTTGTCTATGCTCTGCGCGGTCCGGGGTTCTGGGACTGCAGTGCAGCATGGCAGCTCGTTCCATTCGACTGCCCCCAAAAGGCGGGCCACTTTATTTATTTGGCTAATGGAAGCGCAGGCCGCGTTCGAATCGGCTTGCCTGTTGTCCTCGAGCACGCCGTCGACGACCGAACCAGTTCGACTCCATTTCATTGTGCTGCCGCGCGGCGGGGCGCTCGGCGCAACCCCCTGCCTCAACAAGATGTGGGTCACACACGACGAGGGCGGCGAGACATGTCTGGGCTAAAAGCAGTTTGAACGCGGCGATCGTATTTCGCAATCGGGGGAGCATGCTGAGCACGCCGCCGGCCGGGGGTCGACACGACGAGGGCAGTGCGCCATTCCGGCTAAGCCACCGGGTGGTGCTCCCGGCCGGCGATAGTGGGATTAATGCCCGGATATTGTTTTGGACAGGTGTTGCCTTGCTGACCGGCGTGGCATGGCGTGGCGCGCTGCCAGTGGGGCGACAACATGGCGGCCGGGCCGTGGCGAGCCGTATTCTGGGTTAGCCGGCCGTGCCGCTTGGCGTGCCGCTCGCTCGCCCTTCCCCTTTCACCCGCATTCGCGAACCTGCTCATCCGAGCCGCTCGCTCCCCTGCGAGCTCCCCTGCCTTCCCTGCCACCCTTCAAAGAGCGGCTCCCTTCCCTTTTGTCAAATGGGGCTCCGCCATTTTGCCCTAATGCGGTGAAAGGGAGGGAGGCGAGCCGGGCCGTGGCGAGCCGCGCCGACCAGCAATGGCGATGCGCCTCCCGCGCCTCTCACTCGGTACCCCGCCAGAGATTGCACACAGCCCGCAGACTTTTAATTACTCTCCCTCCGATTTTCAATCCCGACACTCCAGCGTTTCTTCCCGTTTTCCAGAAGTCTGAAAACAGCTGGAGTCGAATGTGGACAAGTCCAGTTGCCACATAACTCAGGGTTTTATTACTCAATGGCGCGAATACAAAATCATGTTCCGGGAACGACTTGCATGCAACAAACTCACTCACACTCATGACACCTTGCTGAAAAACAACAGTCTGGGCGAAACGTCGCTGCCGTGGCTGCACTGTAAATGTCTTACGGTGAAAGGCTGCACCAACATATTATGGTGGGGATTTTCTCCATAATACCAACAAAATTCGTCAAAATATCTATAAGGTACAGTGAATTCTCAATGGTATGTTACAAGGTCAGCTGCACCACCATAATATGGAACATTTTCACCATAATATGGAGAATCTTCACTGTAGAACATTTAGAGTGTGTGCGGCCGGGAGGCAGCGGGTGGGAGGGAGACAGTTTCACCCGCTCTCTTCCCTTCACCACGCCGACGCCACGCCGACGCTACCCCCTGCGCCAGCGCCCTTCTCTCTCCCTCTCGGTACAAATAAATCGGCCTCTCGCTCGCTCGCGGGTAAATATTGTGCGCGCATTGTCCGAGGTGTCCTGTTTGGGCCGGCGTGTTTGGAAAGGATGGCCTTGCCTCTCGTACAGTGCCACACTGGGTTTACACGCCGACCAGACCAACACACACAGAGTACACACAGGAGTGTTCCGTGCACGCCAGGTTGCCTATCCGGCGGTTCTCTAACAGGCTGGATCGACACAGAGAGCGTGTCGAAAAGAGCAAAGGTCAGATGGCCGGATCTCGAAGTTTGGAATCGGAGCGTTTATGCCGCAGTGGCCCAACATTTCCGTACACTGTGCAGGATTCACAATGATGCACGAGCGACTTTGACACTCAATGTATTCCGCTAGGAAAGTTTTAATGTGCGCAGTTGCGCAGCTGATGGTATCGGTGAGCGCTGCGAGGGGGCTGTAGGGGCCTGGGCCCCTTACTGGGCCCACCCCCGTGCCTGGTACGCACCGTACGCACACCCCAACGCGCCGTCTTAACGCAGGCGGAGTAGCCTATAAAAATTAAAATAAGACTCTTAAGAACAAGGTGGGAAAACAACAAGCAATTGTTAAATAGTAGTAGAAAATTTTTAAAAAAATCGTGGATGTTAGTGCAAATGCATTTTTGAATTTATTTCAATGAGTTTTTGATTAGTTTGAACTTTTGATGGAATGAAGGTATTCTGTACGACCAAATGTCCTGCCAGACAGGCAAACTCCAGAAGATCCACGCACTAGGCGGAGCTGGCTGGGTCTCAGCCTGCAGGGTAGGCAACTCCTCGTCACCCGTGTCAGGTGGTTGCCTAGGCCTGGTTCGCAGGCTGAGTGGGGAACGTCCGTCTAAGTTCTGCTCGACACATGATCCTGATGAAACTGTCATGTGTTCGAGTCACTCTACCTCTTTCACATCCACGCGGTCAGACTGCGAGAGAGACAGCGCAACGAAAAGTGGCCGGGCGTCCGGGGCCGCGCCTGCCCTGGCCTGCCCTACCGCACCACGGCGATGCAAGGTGCCGCGCCGCGCCGTTTAAACTTGGCGAGCGTGGCGTTGGCGATCGCGCTTTGAGCTTCGCGACGCCCCGACCTGCGACACGGCGGGGAAGTACACCACGCGGTGTGCACCAAGGCCGCCCCTGGGCCGCCCCTGCACGCCATAGAGACCCCGACGGCGGCGGGTATCTCCGCGCGCCGCCGGCAGGGCCGTCACGTCGGCCGTCTCTCTCGCGTGCGCGGCGTACCCCTACCCGCGCGCCGCAACCGTCTCTCTCCGCGAAAGTAGAGGCAAGGTCAGTGGCGATACTCCCGGCCCCAGCGACCATGACCTACGGCAAGCAGCGCCAGCTGTCACTCTGGCGGCCAGTTCGCGAACTCGTTGGCGAAGCTGCCGCTGCCGCACCGCACCGCGGCACAGCGCAGCGGCGGGCCTCGCCGTCGCTTGGGCCCCGTGCCGCCGCACTCCCCTCCCCTCCCCTCCCCTCCCCGCGGTCTTCCCCGAACCCTTACCCAGCCACGTGTCTCCAGGGTGCGCTGCAGCTGCGGCGGGCTCCCCGTTCGCTCAGCGGTCGCTTCATTCGACTTGGCGGTCAAGAAAGAAAAAGGTTGACCCATGAGAACCGAACCGCCGAGTCGTCCCGTCGCCCCGCCTGCACCTCGCCGTCGTGAACAACGGGGAGGTGTCGAGTCCGCGCCGCCGGCACCGTCCGCTCTCGGAAAGCACACGCGCGTTTGACAGCGCGCTGTTAGGCAACGCTCAGCTAAACGCGGATGCCGGGAACACGAATTGAAATCCGAAACCCAATCCAGAGTCGTTTTCGTGGCGGGGACGGCGCTGCGGTAAATAAATAAAGTCGAGACAAAACGGCACGTGGCCAGGGCTGGGGAGTACAGCCGTCTCTCTCAAAGCCCCGCGGACGCCCGTGAGTGCGAGAGAGACAGACAGAGTCCGCAGGGCAGAGCGGCGGAGCGGAAATGGAAGCGGG